GCATGCATGTCAACTGACTGTGGAAGATTTAACATTTTTTGTGAGAACACTAATCCAAACTCTTTTATATTAGAATCTCACAAAATGAAAAACAATGCACTTAATGCTTTCGATAAACAGAATCAATCTTTGACCACGTAAGCCAAAACAAGAGCCTATAAATACACCGAGGAACAACCGAGGAACAACCGTTTTTTAAGCCGGCTAAATATTCCTGAAACTTTCGCGAGGGACATGGCCAAGGCTAGTGGTCCAACGACGCACGTCCAGCGATGGAAGTTAAACAAGATAGTCACAACTTCGAAACTCGTTTCCATAGCTTAAACCTAACTTCGCACTTCAAATTCAAATCGTAGCTACAGACAAAATATAGGCGCATTACCAGATTATACTGAACTTTCATAACACTTCTCAACACTAGCATTCACATTACTGCTGTCATCACAGCTGCTGAGCTGTTCGGCAGGTCTCTTGCTAAGCCAACGAAATAGGCAAATTCTCATTGTGGATCCAAGAACACTGAACACACAAACACACACAGTGACAGGTAAAGAGTACCAAGCGTTGGGGTGAGTGAAATAAAACATCAGGATCATAAAGAAGTTTTCTAATACAAACAAAATATGTGAGAAATATACATTCCTATTTACACCATTTACGTCTACTCTTATCGTAATATGTGTAAAGTCATCTCTTAGACTGTGAATGCCCATGAACAATAAAGTAACGAAAACTTTAGAGGCATTACAGCAAACTTTATCTCTATGCTGAATAACAGTCGCTATTACCATCACACAACAATGAACCATTAATACACCAATAACCCACCACTTGTAGCTGACGGTGAAATAACAGATGGCGAACAGTCGACTGCTCAGGAGGAGCAAGTGAGTTGCATACAATACTAGTTTGTGTTTAACATTCAGATAACTGCTACTTGGCATTATATGGTTCGCTACAAGAGACATCTTATCAGTGGCTGTGAAGGCCCATGCCAGAGTGAGGAAAGAGATAGGTAGAGAAATGATTTGGATAATTGCAGCTGGTTCCTCCTGAACACTGATGGCGTACAACTGAATTATAAATTGTGGAGCACACTCAAGGACTGCCTCAAAGAGTACAACTAAGTCAATGTAACTGAATAGATCTTCAGCTTTGTCTTTAAAGTAGAGGTCGATTTCATCTTCATACCGCCATTTCTTGAGAGTGAGAAGTAAAGCTTCTAGTCTTGCGAAGGCTGCTGAAAATGGATGCAATGCGCAAAGAGCAGTTCTTGCCCAATTAGAAGGTGAAAGGTGTGATCTACTGGTACGCGACAGGTAGAACACTACTGGAAACGCCAAACATGGCAATAAAACAAAAGTAAGCCCCACACCAAACCATACTTTGTGATTCGCGCGGTAGAATTCTAACAGTGTAAGTATATCGGTGATAAGATCAGCAAAACTTAACATAGCTCCAACAAGGAACACGAAAGGACTGTACCACTTAAGATGTTTCTCTTTCATATCGACGGACGTTTCGTTAGTTCGTGTAATAAGTCGCTTTATATTGACACAGGCTCAGTTAATGAAATAGATTTCTGCACTGTTCGTAATTAGAAGCTTTTGCGCTCAGCTTTCGACTGAAAAACTGCAAAGTTTCCTTTGGTTAGTCTGATTTCACTCTTAAGGTCACGGAAGGAGGTATTGCTGCACGTCTGTATTAACTTTATTGCAAAATATTGGGAACGTATTGGTTCTCCGGATATTCTTTGTGACGCAGTCTTGAAGAGCTGGAGTGTACAATAGAAAATTTCCGCGTCTCAAAAATGTTAATTATACAATAGTAAATATTACTGTTAAGTTGTCGCGTGTTTTGGAGGAAAACTAGGTGCAGAGTGAACCTCGCCTTGGAAAAGGCATCAACGACTCTCGACTTGACCTTTTTACGGTTTCTTCTAATACAATTCTAGTTACAACGAAATCGCCCTTTAATTACTCTGACTCTTCCTGGTTTTTTGAATACGGGCGACTGTTACTTAATGTCCGTCTTACTCTGAAAGACTGACTGATAACGAACCCTGTAATACACGTTTTAATTTCATTAGGTAGGCATGAGTCGTAGTACGAGATAATAAAAAGATCTACACCATTAATCAAAATCTTAAATTCGTAGCAGAGTAAATGCTTAACTAAGCTGTACGGAACATTCAACTGTTTTTCCAAGTAAAAATTCACATATGGAAAAATGAGTTGAAACCAATGTAAAATTCAATCCGGTAAACTGACCTTACCATAAAAGCCTGTCGGTTAGAATACAAACATTTAGTGCGGTACTCAAGCAATGCTTCACGTTGTCGGCATCAGGGTCGTTCAAGGTGATCATGACTTTCTGCTTCGCCACATACTTTGAGATAGTACTATATACGTTTAATGTCAACATCACTCAATAAGTTATAACTATTGAACAACATTTAAGAACAACCATAATTTTTTACTAAAAAACAAAATTTTCCGGTTTTTTTCTGTTACATCAAAATTCTTGCTTGTTATTCTCTTCCCTCTCGATTTATGCCATTCGAGCAGGCTGCTCCAGAAAAAGTGAGCACAACACTGAATGTCGAATCAAGTGACTGAGGACAGACATGAACTTTAGTTTTCTTTTATGAGGCACAGCTGAGTACTGTCCAACCTTTTTGTAGTAACGCGAATGAGTCTGTTGCTTTTCAGTACTTAGTCCGTCTTTTTGTAAAAGAGACTGAGGGAAAAACGCATATAGCATGCAATCTAAGAGGTAATTAATCCTTGACAACTGAAAATGATCGATCATCATTTGAAAATTTACTACTGAAAGCCAGGTGAAATTAGTCCTCCACGCATCAGTTTCCTGCACGAATTATTTATCACGCAATTACAGATACAAGACGCGGCAGTAAAAAGCGTCGTTCCCAGACTTCTCCTCCTTTACCTCCTCTCGTTACACATTCTTCATATCCTTCACCTCCACTTCCTTCCTTTTTTCACCATTCTGTACTCCCACCTGTCCCCATATGATATCCTATCCAGACTCTCATTTTATTAAAATGTTCGACAGAATTTTCTTTCAGAAGATTAACAATAGATGAAACATTTTCCTTATTTTGAGTCAACTAATGACTTTTACGTGTTATTGTCGTTTCTCCGAGTGAAACACACAAGAAGATCGGTAAGAAAATACCTTCATAAATGTTTTTAGGAGAAACAACGTCTAGATAAGTCAGCATTGAATAGTTCGTAATTGCAAAGCAATTGTATAAAAACCCATCGTAATCGGTTACTTTTGATGTAAAGAGAAAGTCTCTGATGCGAACAAATTTGTCATCGTTGTAATCGAGTTGAAGGCTGAATCAACTTTGATCGAAAAAAAAAATCAGGTAGTTTCATTTTTCAGTGCAGTGAATGATTTTGTCGTTGGTGGTTAAGCATACAATTGTAGCTGACAAATTACGAATATTATCCTACACATTTTATCTTTGGTAGAACGAAGTGTCGGGTAAATCTAAAGGCCACCATAGGAAAGTATAAGCACCCCTAAGCCCTTTGAGTGACTGTTTAGATAACTTTTATCATAATTTTGATCTTGCACAATATCAACTTGTACACAGCTTTAGATAAGTTTTATTTACTGAGGGAAGTTACCCACCTCGAAGTTGAGGAACACAAATCAACATCTTTCTTTCAAAACAATTCATCCCTAAAAATCGTACATTTATAAACATAAACTATTTATGTAAAACTTCTAAACCACTAGCTCGAAGCTTAAATCGAGTATTTTGATAATTATGTGCTATTCCATTCTATCCATCCAATACTCGCTGCTTGTTATGTGTTTATTTTATTTCTTCTACGGTTTCTTTCTTCTTCTGTCACATCTTTTGTGCCCGCAAAAAATCTTACCAATATATGAAAATAAGTGAAAACACGAAACTACTAAAGACACCTAAAGATCTAATGAAATAGTTGTGACCATCATATCAAACTCATGGGGTACAAATAGTCTTAACATGAATATAGTGACCACGCCCACTTCAACGCCCCACTCAAATCGAGTGTAATTTCCGAATGTTTTACCATCGTGCGGATTCTCTACGGAAAAAGCACTCAATGTACTTTTGAAATATTAAATTATAATATTGTGGCTTTCTATTTCGCTAATTTTCTAACTTCATCCAATACTCGCTGCTTGTTATGTGTTTATTTTATATCTTCTACAGATTGTGTTACAAATTTGAAATTATCTGTCACATTTTTTGTGCCCGCCGGCTTAGCATCTTTTATCGATATATGAAAATAGGTGAAACACGAAACTGCTAAAGATAACTAAAGATCTAACAAATAGTTGTGATCAATCATAGCTTTAAACTACTCACGTCTGACTCAAATTCTGATTTATGTCTTTTTGATGCTCGCACTTTGATTATCTTTCCTTTATTTTCTACTGACTACTGACTTGTTACTCAATGCCAATATCTACTAAGTAAACTCAAAAGAGCATGCTTTTGTATTCGATATCAGTACGCCTGAGTAGGCATGCTGGCCAACTAACTTCGCAAGATTAAACAGTTTCTGTTATTAGAAAACGCTTTTACGACGAAATCTCACAAATGAACAATGACGTACTTAATGCTTCTGATCAAAGGAAAGCAATATTTGACTACGTAAACCAAAACAAAAACTTTCGTGAAAGTCCAAGGCAAGGTCAGGAGACAAACTAAGCACGTCCATTGATGGAAGCTAAACAATAAAGTCACGATTCGGTAACTCATCTCGACAGCTTAAACCCAAATAACATGGGACCTCAAAAATTCAGATAGTGCGGCTACAGGTCAAATCAGTAAATCTAAATTACTAAATTACCAAATTGCTAAATCACACTGAACTAACATAATAATTCACAACACATGTATTCACATCACCGTTCGTCACATGCATTCACATCACCGCTGTTCGCAGCTGGTGAACCGCCGGCAAATTTCTTGCATAGCCACCTAAATACACAAACTCTCATTGTGGAGCCAAGAACACTGAATACACAAACACTCACAGTGACAGGTAAAGAGTACCAAGCATTGGGGTTATAAGTGAAATAAAACATCAGGATCATAAAGAAGTTTTCTAATACAAAAAAAATATGTGAGAAATACACACTCATGGTTAGACCACTTGTACACCAATCGATAATTCAACAAAGTCATCTCTTAGACAGTGAATGCCCATAAACAATATAGTAGAGAAAACGTAGCTGGCATTACAGCCAACTTCGTCTCTATTCTGAATAACAGTCGCTATTACTACGGCACAAGAATGAAACATCAACACGCCAATGATCTCCCACTTGTAGCTGACAGTGAAATAGCAGATGGTGAACAGTCGACTGCTCAGAAGAAGTAAGTAAGTTACATACAATGCTAGTTGATGTTTAACCTTCAGGGCACCGCTACTTGGTGTTATTTCGCGCTCGGCAAGAGACGCCTTATCAGTGGCTGTGAAGGCCCATGCCAGAGTGTTGAAAGAGATAGGTAGAGGAATGATTTGAATGATTGTAGCTGGCTCCTCCTGAACAATGATGGCGTACAACTGAATTATAAATTGAGGAGCGGATTCAAGGACTGCCTCAAAGAGCAAAGCTAAGTCGATGTGATTGAGTACATATTCAGCTTCTGACACAATCTGGGAAAGCTGGGGTGTCTATGATAAAATCAAAACTTTCCGAGTCTGAAAAATTCCTCATTAATATATTCAGGTAGGTATCAGTTATGTTACGGTAAATAATTGCAATTAGCTTCTAAACAATAGCTTGGTAAATGCTCAATTAAGTTCCGCGGAACATTCAACTGTTTTTCTAAGTAAAAACACACATATAGAAACAGTTTAAATGAATGCCAAATTCAATCCGGTAAAATGACCTCACCGTACAATGTCTGTCAGTCAGAATATAAGAAACATTTTTAGTGTAGTAGTCACGCAATGCGTCACGTTGTCATCAGGCCGGGTCGTTCAAGTGGATCATGACTTTCTGCTTCGCTGCATGTCTGGCGCAGAATGGCTTTTGTTTGAAGGACATATACTTACCTAATGGCATAAATTACTTAGGTCGCATTAGAGCTGTCATGTGGGTTCTCGATGGGCTCTAATTAGTCGCAGTTTGTCCTTATAAATGGAAATTTACTCACTCTGACGAGGGGCTAACGCTCGAAACGTCAGCTTTTTTACCCTTTACGGTGGCCAATTTACGTTTTCAACTCAGTCGTTAACACTTAATTACCTACCATACACTCCACCGACGCAACACCACAGTTTCTTTAGAAACTTACCCCCTTTACTCAGGCTGCCTGCCGTTGCGAATATCCAATGGAACTGAACTGTACATCAAATGTACAAGCAGAGAACAGACAATAGAGTTCCGGGCAATCCCGATCGCTTGTTAAGATCATATGATTATTTGGTAGTCAACTATGTATCTCATATGCGCCGGACAGCTGCGCTGAATTTCGATTAAATGCCAGCAGTCTTTCCCCAAAACGCTTTTGTGGTCTTCAGAATTAATTTTATGAGCGGTTTCAACGCAGTTCAAGCCTCTTGTCCTCTTTCCAAACCTCGATAAGCAGAAGCGGCTATTTGTTACTTGTTCTCGAACGTCACACCCAATTTCTGTCTTTGCTACTGCTACATTTCATTCTATCTTATCCAGAGCTGATCAATAATTCGCACGATACTTGTTTTAAATGCGGACAATGCGCTTACGAAACGAATTCTTAGCGCGCTCTCCCGCTCACATTTGGAAGTTGCCGAGAGTCGTTCATACTTACTAATAGCTCCATATTCCTTAAATTTGAGAAATTTACCTCACAACACGTTTAATGTCAACATCACTCAATAAATTAGAGCTATTGGACAACATTTAAATACAAAACAACTATAATTTCTTAATTATCCGTTAAATATCAATGTAAATAGCAAATTTGTTCCCTTTTTTTTACTTATTTTAAACTTAATCAAAATTCTTGCTTGTTATCCTCTGTTCGCTCTCGATTTACGTCATTCGAGCAGGCTGCTCCGGAAAAAGTGAGCACACTGAATGTCGAATTTAGGGACTGAGGATGGACGTAAACTTCTTTTTTTCTTGTACGAAGCACAGCCGTGTACAGTCCAATCTTTTTGTAATAATATAAATAAGTCTGTTGCTTTTCAGCGCTTGGTCCGTCTTCTTGTAGAAGAGGGTTATTTAGTATTATCAAATAAGTTGATGACGTAAATTGGCTACCGTAAAGAGTATGAAAAGTGACGTTGCGAGTGTTAGCCCTTCGTAAATAAAGAGAAGTTTTTTTTCTTACTATTGATTTTACAAAATATCAAGTTGAATACAGCTATAGGAAAAAAATTAAACATGTATTCGTATTACCGCCCCAATAGTTTCCTTTAGTGTAACCGCCGCTGGTACCTATCTCACAAATTCCTATCAGGTGGTTAGAACAGCATTTCAGAGAACAATGAAGCATTGTCGCAGGTAAAAAACTCCAGTATTAGGTACGCCAAACAAGGCATCTTAAAGAAAGCAAGCATAACTCTGTCAAGCTTGCTAAATATTGCAATCCCAGTACCTGCCCAACACAAGTTTCGTAAACTGTGCAACCGCATCTTGCTGATACATCCAAATTGAAAAATTGGAGTAGAAAGCGATTTTGAGATCTGGCTATTTCAGGTATAGGTAGAGCATCAAACTACTGCCAGAGTAAACGTTTAAAAAATTTAAAAAAAGAATCAAAACATGTTATCCTGATTCGCGTTTAGTTTCGACACACAAACAGTGCCTACGCGATTTACAAATTAAAACTAGTTTCACCCAAGACCTCGTCAGTTGATCACCATTCTATGAAAACATACTCCAGCGCTACCTGATGGAGCGTTAAGCAAATTGCCTGAGCCACGGGAAAACGCGAGTGATAAGTCTCCTCCTGCCCTGGTGAATTACAATTTACCATAATTTTCAAACTCCCTTGTCTATTACTTTTCGCACCCTGCAGAGCCTTTGGCGAAGATTTTAAGGCCAAAAAGGGAAGCTAATGAACCTCTCTAAGAAAATACATCTTTAGTCGATTAGTTATGTGGTACATTTATGAAAACAAATCCCTGATAGCTCATCAACTATCTTCAGTAGAATTAATATGTTCTAAATTGCATATTCTAATTCGGGAATTCTAAAACAGAAATCTAAATTTTTTTTGTTCTGTTTATTACCAGAATAAAGTTATCACGAAACTTTACGGTAACAAAATTCAACTGTACATACGTTAAATTGCATATTTCCTATTTCTATTCTATAACTAGGCTTGTGTATAGTTAAGTCAGAATGTAAGCATGACTCACGCCCAGACTGCAAAAATTCGTTCTGAGCAGGAACAACGATGAGAAAGAAATAAATAAAATCAACGAACGACTAACATCAAAGTTGACCCATTAATTAAGTTATTTCAATCTAGTAGAAAAAAAAAAGTTCAGGAATTTAATTTTTTTCCTAATCTTCCTGTTGAAATCACAGGCTTATATCCTCGTCATTTACAAGTCCTGTTTCGGCCTTGTTTATGCAACCAAGAAGGATCTTCCAAGAAACAAAATGGTTGACTACGTGATCCTCTGTGGTGCCTATACTCACTAAAGAGAAAGAATAATGAAAGATTTACTGCTTTCTCTATATCTTGAACCAAACTGTATCAGTCTTAAGAGTTCTACGTACTTCTAAACTCTGTGTAGACTCCAGATCACGAACACAAAATCACCGGTATATCTATAAAAACTGTTCCGACGACGTTATGAATTCAAATTCCTTCATATCAACTCAGTTTCGTCTTGTTGCGTGTCATCTGTGGTAGCTCCATTATTAAGTCTTCAATGCAATTCAATGTTCGGATAATTTCGTTGTCATTCGTCACTGCGTTCACATGATCGGCAAAGTTTCGTTCCTCTTTAACTTCAGACCTCGACATGACATGCGGGAAATAAACTTCTTGATTCCAACTACTTATGGTACCGAACTCAGTCTTTGAGCCTTTGAAAGAACAATACCACGTCCCTTTAAGCCGACGCTTTCACTTTGGGTTGAAATCGCCGGAAGAACTGTACAGTTGGAACGTGAACCTGTTCGTACAAAGCGTGTCTCACCGAAGCTGTAAACTTGTTAACCAAACAGAAAGCAGTAGATACTTCAAACACCAGGTTATATAGGATGACCACACGAAAATTACCGAGCCAGTCAAGCCGGCCAAACTCGCCCATCAAGTCAAACTTGGTTATACCTGAAATGTTGAAACAAGTCAAAAGCTGGTTAGATTGAGTGTTGTAAATCATAGGAAGGAAATATCAATTTAAAAAAAGCAAACTGCCTGAAGCGCGGGAAAACGCGACTAACCAAGTCGCGATTGATTTTTAGTTTGAAATCTGATTGGTTGAGAAAGTGGCGCGAATTTTTTGGACCAATCACATGACGAAGTAAAGCAAAACAAAGCAGTACCGAATTACTTTCGACTAAAAACTGCTCTATCTTTACGAAAGGATCATGAAGTTAGTTAGCTGACTTCAGCTTCGCCTTTTTACAGATACAAGATGCTCAAGCAGGTTTAGGTTTATAGAGTAAAAGATATTTAACGGATAACTAAGAAATTATAGTTGTTTTGTATTGAAATGTTGTCCAATAGTTATAATTTATTGAGTGATGTTGACATTAAACGTGTTGCGAGGTAAATTTCTCAAATTTAAGGACTATGGAGCTATTATTAAGTATGAACGACTCGGGGTCAGCCATGAAATTATTTAAAAAGACCTTAATTACTGACTTACCAAGTGTTCTGGACAGAACTGGTAAAGCTGAACTAAGGATCAATAAGACTATACAGTTGGCAATCACCTGAAATTAGAACAACAAACGATATAAAAAACTGAGTAACTGCCCCTGGCTCTCTATTTCAAGATGAGACTTGGCGTAAAGTTGAAAATTCGCCCTGAAGGACGCTCAATTTGCGAAAATTTCGGTGGCCATGGCGAGTAGAGAAAATTTGGCGCCTCAAATTCCCGCGAAAGTCCGTACGCTCGGCGATCAATGAGCAAGCTGCAACCTTTTCATTCGTGATCGGAGCTTAGCTCAGTAGCCAAAAGTGTTACACAATCTTATTAGTTCTCATCACCTCGGGTTTATTTCTCCACTGCATTGCACTTGATAGAACGTAAAGTTTCTGTAGTCTATTTTACCGAGAGCTCCGAGGAATAACCGGAGTACGTGGTGTAGCCCAAATAAAACACAGCACCATCGATCTAAAGGTACGCATCAAGCTTAGATATCCTTATTAAATTTTTAAACAATCTAGTTCGCTTACCTTGGTCGTGGTAGTTTCGCGTACTGCAGGACGCAGGCGTGAAAAGTATGGAACGCTGTACAGGCCTACTAGTGACGCAAGCATTAAATAACTGAGGAAAGTTAAGGTGCCCTGTCTGGACTGACTGACGAATCCAACGCTCATACAGCAAATAATTCCATTCATTAAAGTGCAAAAATAATAGAAGAAAAACCCTTGGGTTTCAAGAAGCGATTCGAACATCTTGCTTCTCCCAAACATAACAATACACTACCCTACGAACACGTAATGAGAATGGACAGGTCTATCAGTGGAAGGATTTAATCTGTGTGTTCACTCATAAAAGTACTGGTCCGTGAAGCACCAATAATCCTTTAAAATTCCCAGGCAGCACTTACACTGAATGTTTTTGCTTATGTTAGCGAACGAATTTAAGGGGAAAAACATACAAATGTATGAATGAACTAACAAGCAAATACATAAAAACGATCAGTTGAACACTACAGTGAAAGGATACAAAATAAGAATGATCTCCAGAAGGGCGCCGAATGTTCCCATCATGGATGAGGATACCTTACCCAACACAAGCACCTAGAAACATGAAACAC